GAATGAAGAAAGAGGGAGGATGACAAAGGGTCTGGTATGTGTCATCGTCGACTGCTGTTATAGAAAGTAGGAAATCCTGCCTGCTGCAGCCTTCTCAACCCGGTCTTGAAAGGGGACAGTGCCCTGACCTTGTACCTATGTGCACTTCTYGCTGCTGCACAAGACAGGGCTTACAACATGTTCCATGTCTAGAGGTGCCATGGCACCATTGGTTCATAGGCTTCAGAGTTGGATCTCAGAATGAGGCTGACCCTGCCACTCACCACCCATTAYCTACCTGTGCTGAACCTCAGTTTCACCATAGATTCGATGGGGATGCAAATGGTTACAAAAATTAAATATCCCCTTATTACTTAATTCAYATAAAACCACAGCATAATAAATAACATGTGAAAATGCTCCAGGATTTTTTTTAAAGAGGTGTTGAAACTATTTTATGAGTGACAATAAATTTAGGAGATGGTGATTTATCTCATGGGTTTGTTTGTTTGTTTGTTTTTTGTACCAAGGATTAAACTCAAGGGCACCTAACCACTGAGCCACATCCCCAGCCTTTTTTATTTTCTTATTTTGAGACAGGATCTCACTAAATTGCTTAGGGCCTCACTAAGTTGCTGAGGCTRGCCTCAAACTTGCAATCCTCCTGTTTCAAGCCTCCAGAGTTGGATTACAGACCTGCACCACCACACATGGCTCATAGGTTTTCTCTGTATAATTGKGGGCAGGGATTATCTTTTGGGGAATTACTTAGTAAGAAGATTCTTGATCATTGTCCTGTCAGACGGGGAAGAAGATGGTTGTGTACTAGAATGAACTGGGYTTGGAGTCAGTCCCCGAAGTGACTCAAGCATGGGAGCCATGAGTGTTTCAAGCTGCTGCAGCCTGTGGGTAACTAATGGGCTCTGAGTGGAGGGACACTGGGACTGATCAGGAACCTCCCACTTTGGAACTACTTAATACTTTTTTGGGAAATAATCCAAATATTATCATTGTGTTGAGTTCTACACATGCATGCTATTGAAAGTGTCATTATTAATAATTTATACTATTTACAGTTTGAAACCATGAAGATAAAAACAGTATTTCTTTTTGTTTGGCATGGCTTTAAATACTAATATACTTGACCCTTTTTCCATGATCTTAGGGAATCCTCTTATCTTCTTCATAGACTGTTTCACATTCTTTGCTTATTTTCATGTGTAGGATTACCTTTTTGTGATCTGGAACAGCTCATTTATATTCATGATCAACTCCTTTGTCTTTCTCCTGCATRCAACTTACCAATTTTTTATTGACTTTTTGTTTTTTTAATTTACCACAATTTCCCAATCTTTTATTGACCATTGTTTTTAAAATTTACAACAGTTTAATATTTTTATGCAACGCAAGTTATTGGRGKTTTTTTTCCTTATAATTAATTTCATTGTTTTTAGGCTTAAAAGTACCCCCCCATTTACAAATTAATTAAAAATATCCCTGTATTTTCATACATATCTTTGGGCATGGTTATTCTGATAACAGGTTTAAATGTTATAAATTGGTACAGCCTTTATAGAAAATGTATTTGTAATATGTATCAAAACCCACTAATAAGTTGGCAYTCTTTGCCCCAGTAATTCCACTTCTAAGAATCTAACAAGAAAATGACTGGGCATGTGGTCAAGGATTTCTACACAAAGACACTCATCCCAGTGGTGTTTGTAATAGCAAAAAAATGAGAATAATTTAAAAGTCTCGAATGTGTGGGGTAAATATTATACAGCTACACTCTCCCATGTGGTAACCATTAGCTATTCAARTTAAAACTTATTGAAATTAAATAAAATAAAAAATTCAGTTCCTTGGTTGCAGTAGCCACATTTCACATGTTCAACAGCTATATGTGATGAGTGGCTACCAGATTTGACARCACAGGTGTGGAATATTTCTGTTCTCACAGAAGCTTCTGTTAAGTAGTACTACTCCATGACCATTAAAATCGGGTTTTTTAAAGAATATTTAATAACAAGATGCATTCAAGATATGATGGTAAACAAAAGTATCAGAATACAAAATATATGGTGGTAACAGGGATTCAGATTGGTTTTAGTAACTTTCTTCATTAAGTTAAATTAGATCAGAGGAAATCCAAACCCTATCCTTATTATACTCATATTCTAAACAGAAAGAGAAAGAGGAAAGAAAATCCAAGACACATAGATGCTCAAGAATTAAGTGAAATGCAAGGAGAAATCTACCATATGACACCTACTTAGTAACTGTTTATTGACTGAAGATACAAGTGGGAACTGTCATGCTAGATTATACAAAACACCAATTAACATAGTATTCTGTGGCCAACAATAGCCTTGGTAGTCCYCCTATCAATGTTCATTATGTAGCCACCAAAGTCACAAAAACAATTTGGGCAGCAAATGGCACTTAAGAACTTATATAAAGCAAAAAAAACCTTTCAGAATAAAAGTACTTTTAGACAGAAGATCAAGAATGAGAAGTTATACACCATTCATGTATGATGTGTCTTTCTACATATGGAAAGACCAGGAAGCCTCTCAAAACATCAATTAATAATTACGAACTATGAAAGAGTACTTCACTACGGTGTGATTGAAACCTCAGGAAAAACTTGAGAAAACTATAGGCAATTTGGCCCCAATCTTCCCACTGAGAATAACTCAAAAGCAGAAAAAACATATATTTTTATTTAAATCTTGAAATCATGTCTCAGTAATCTCAAGCACTCCAACTTTGAGCCATCTGGATTCCCAGAAAAATCTTGAGCCCTGAATATGGTCTAAAGAATCCCAGATTACACACTTAACATAAACAAGACAAGACTTTCTCTAGAATAACACACCATCATACCAGGTCTCAATACAGTTTTACCAACAATTTCTAAAATTTAATGTCCATAATTCAATCAAAGATATCCAGTCACATAAGGCAAGAAGATGAGAGACAATAAAAACAGCCCCTAAGAGGYTCCAAAGTTTGGATTTATTAGACACACACATTWCTGTACTTGGGAAAATTTTTAAAACATTATAAAAAAAACTTTGTAAAATAACTGAAAATACTTTTAAAAATGACTAGACAGATTTGAGAAATACTTGAAAACAAATAGGATTTCTAAAGCTAAAATGTACAATGACCAAAATAAGGGATGAATGAGTCTAACAATCACTTAGACATATATGAACAGAGTATTTGTGAATTGGAAGATAGGTATGAAATGAAGCATGGGTAAGTTGGAATATATAAAAGASAATGTGGAAAACAGAGAGGAATAAAAACTCTAACATTGGAATCACACATGGAAAAGTGAACTTCAGAGATTATGACTGAGAACATAGCCATAAATCCACAAATTCAGGAGGTTCTATGAACTTCAGGCAGAATAAATAGAAAGAAATTCACCCCAGAATCACCATGTTAAAATGATAGAAAACTAAAGACAAAGGAAAATCTTAAAAGTAGTCAACAATTAAAATTCCCTTAGAGGAAAAACAGTTTAATTTTTTACTGACTTTTTCAATAGCAAAAATGGAAACCAGAAGAAAATGGAAGCCAAACTAAAATTCCATATCCAGTAAAAATACACTTAAAAAATGAAGGGAAGTAAATAATTTTCTGGCCAACAAAAACTGGGAGAATTCTTCACAAAAACCTACAATGTTAAAGATTTTAACACGATTAATGGATGTTCTTCAGGCAAAAGAAAAGTACTTTTAGACAGAAGATCAAGAATGAGAAGTTATACACCATTCATGTATGATGTTTCAAAATGCATTCCACYGACAYGTAGAATTAGAATAAAAAAAGATGCAAGAAAGAAGGAAAAGCAATAAAAATGGAAGAACTGGCAAAATGAACTTGAATGAGATGTGATGTTGAAGAGGAATACAGAGCTRTTTTTCAGGGTGAGGATAACTTTTGCCTATATTAATTAGAACTTATATTTAGCTATACTCTGATGAAAAATATTTAAGCAATTTGGGGGGTAGAGGAAAACTAAATGCCATAAAAAAGATCTGTCAATCTTCTGTCAAAGATCTGCCAATTTACTKCATGGTTCTAAAAATACAAATGATCCAAGAAATCATTTATAAAGTAATAGTCAACTGAGAAAAATATTTGCAATACTTCATTAGCTGTAATAGAGTCCATTAYATATGGAGTGGGATTTATGGTGGAAACAGATGGATATGGGTTCTTARGAGCTTCGAGGTACTATTTAACACATCAGGTTGTGTATATACAATTAGTTAAAAAAATAGTTAATGAATTTAAAAAGAAAAGATAAAGACCTCACTCAATTTTTAATGAATGTAGAGTTATAAATGATCTGGCATCYTGTAGCTCTCAATTCACCTTATACAAGTTGTGGATATATTACAAATAGCCAAAATGATATTTATGATACCAAAGTAAGATAAGGAATCATCTTTTCTAATGATTTGTTTTAAAAAAATGTAAATAGTTGTATTTTCAGGATAACTTAATTTCTCARCAGAGTACATAGCCCCTTAATCCCTTTCAGCCCTGGAATTTTAAGATTCACTGCAAATTCTGTGAAAATATCAATCCTGAATTATGGAGACCTGAAATCCTTATTCTAAGGCTATGCCAAGGGGACTTCCAATGATTCTACTCTGTTATTCTCCAAGGAATCACCACCGAGCTGAATCATTCTGTGGACAATGGCTGTGTGGTTGAGTGGTCCTCTCAGTGTATTCCTTTGTCTCACGTGATCCACTCTGCCAGTGCCCTATGTCAAGGTGTTTCTACAGCATGTCCCTCTGCTCTCTTAAAAACCAACATGCTAGAACAATGGTTTCCATCAATGGCTTAAATTAATCAATTAGGAATGTTCTCTGTGGTTAGGAATAGCTGCATGATAAAGCAGATATCTGGCAGCAACTGAAATTTTATTCACAAGGCAGATCACTGTCCCAGAAAAACCTGAGATGGGAAAAAATAGGCAGGTGGCATTCACTTACCTGCCGGAGTTTGGTTCCCACCATAGAGGCACTGGTGTCAAGAACAAAGACCACATTCTTGGGCAAAGGAGGAAGGTCTTTGGGAGCAAAGTAGTGCACAAAATAGCCATTTAGAACCTGGTAAGGAAAAAAAAAGTGAAAAATGGTTGTACCCAAAATAGTTAATCTATGGAGCTTTTAGAACTAAGATGAAACAGTCTAGGGTCACATTCCACACCCAGAGCAAAATTATCTGTGGTTCTGATCCTCCAAGGGAACCAGATGCTAATCAATCCATATAAGGATAGAATCATCCCTTTAAATTTTATTGATCAGTGGACTGGGAGTGTAAGTACAGAGTGCTTGACTAGCATGAGTGAGACCCTGGGTTTAAATCCCCAGCACTGAAAAAAGAAAGTATTGATCATGACAACCCATTCAACTTTAACTATCTGTCTCGTTCTGACCTTGCTACGTGTGAATCCTACTTTTTTTCATTATCTAGTTTTTACCAAGCATTGTACGCATTGAGACATCAAGGTTGTCAACATTCTGGACGCACATTAATGTATTTTAATATTCCCACCCTGTCTCTGGAGCAATAAAACCTAAAGGGAAATAAGCTGTGGAACAGTCTCCTTTAATTAAAATTGAAGATGAACTAAAATTCCAACCTCATCTAAAACACCACAGGGAAAATTACATTTTAGATTTCATTAGCTGTCCAGATTACTGGAGCAGRAAATAGGTACCCTCAGCTTCTAGCAAGGATCATCTCTAGTTTCTYTGAAGACATATTTTGGGTAAAACAATTTTACAAAGAACCAAAAAGAGCTTTTGCCCTTAGCTAAATATCAAAATCTACAGTTCTGAGTCTAACAAAAAGTGTCAAGCTACCAACATGAAATAGCAACACAAAGCCTTGTACCTGGATGTCCCCAATGCTCTGTTCTCTATTGACATCATATCGAATGATGAAATCTCCCAAAATTCCATTCTGGGCAATCTTGGCTTGTTGTACCACAGTAGGCTTAAAAACGACCTTGGCAAAAGTTTCATTTTGGTTGATAACAGTAGAAGGAGGTGGCCCCAAATCATCTGCAGCTAACACATAAACATCATAAATAACAATATGAAAGTATTTTCCTAAAAAGAAGTAAGAATCAATATAGTATAAACAAAGAGGGTTAGACTTCATCTTACTGGCAGGTATACAGTTCATATAAACTTCTGAGACTTTGTGTTAATAACATATCACAATGTAAGATATATGCTATGGTATATTTCACTGTTATGGCTCCTTTCTGAACCTTTTATGAAAATTGTTAAAATGCACAAAAGTAGAAAGAATAGCAATATGAACCCCCATGTATCCATCACTCAACTGAAACAATTAGCAACATTCTGCCAATTGTTTGTATCTACTTTTATTTCACCTTGTTTCTAGATCATTTTATAACAAATCTCAGACATCATATTCCATCCAAATATTTCAGTAACATAAAAATGTTTTCCTATCAWAACTACAAAACCATTATCACAAGTAACAAAGGTAATGCTTGATGTCTTATTATTRTCTACTACTCAGTCTTAAAATTCTCTTAAAAATGTCATGGTGTGGTTGATTTGTCTGAATCAGGTTCAAAACAAAATCCCCACATCACATTTGGTTAATGTTTCTTAGAATATCTTTAAATCTCAAGTGTCCCTTCCCTCTATATCTCTTCTTTTTGAAATACGTGTGTGTGTGTGTGTGTGTGTGTGTGTGTGTGTGTGTTATGATGTTATGGTGTGGATATGAAGAACAGTCAGAGGTGAAATGACTGGATTATGAGAGCTATTCTATTTTGAAAGGATCAACTATAGGCAAGTGGGGCGTGGCTGGAGAAGGTCACTGGGGGCGTGTGCTGAAAAGGTGAATCTTCAGTGTAGCCCTTTGCCCCACCCCACCTCTCTGCTTCTTTGCTGCCTGTGAGGAGCAGCTTCCCTCCAGCACATCCTTYCCCTATGATGTGCTGCTTTATCTCAGGCTCAGAGYAATGGAGTTGGCTATCTATRGAATGAGACCTCTGAAACCAGGAGCCCCAAATGAGTTTTTCCTCAAGTTGTTCTTTCTGGGTATTTCAGTCACAGTGATGCCAAACCTAACTAAAACTATACACACACACACGTACATATATACATACATATACACCCTTGTCATTGAACTTGTTCCTCTCTTCTGCTGACAGTGTAATATTTGGAGGAKCTATAAAAAATATTGATGCCCAGGCCCAGAGATTCTCATTAAATTGTTCTGAGATGAAGACTAGGCATTAGGTCTTTGAAAAACTGCTCATGTGACTCTAATGTGCAGTTAGGTGTGAGCACCACCGCTCAATCCCCTGTGTTCACTGGTGTTCTGGAAGTTAGAGATGGAAGCTTGACTAGATTCAGGTTTGATGCTACTGAACTACTTCATAGGAGATGAAGATTTCATAGGTGAAGAACCTTCACGGAACACTAGGTGATGGCAAGCTCTTTCTACTCCATCACATTAGATGGTACACAATATCTCCCTGTCTAGTTTTAGTGGTAGCAATAATGACAGCATGCAGGTGTTGTGGGCCTGACCCTCATCCCCTTAGAAAGTTCAGACATTTTACAGTGATAGTACAATTAATACTTTTATCAATGACTAATGAAAGCTAGGTCCACTAATTCATTAGATCTACAAAATGATGACTTCAAATTCTGTCATTTCTTCCATATGGAAGAATTAGTCCATAAAGAAAGCCTTTCCCTCATGAATCATTCAGTTGCCCTAACACACCCTTTGTCCAGGAAGCATATGGTTCTTTAAAAAAAGAATTGCTCAAAGTTTTCCCCAAAGTGAGTCTTAGGATACGAATTAGAATTACAAAAAGATTATCAGATGAATGAATTTTATGTAATTTATTAAAAACTAGCATAATGAGATACTAAGCAAAGAGAATCCTATTTTTACTTCTGAGCCTCAGTTCCTACTAGAACACGAGAACTATTTAGCAGACTACCACGGTTATAAGTGCAAACAACACTAGCCTATGTACTTAGCAATAAAAACCGATATTTTGAAATCTGAATGCATCATAAGTAGTATAAAAATTAAAATAAGATTTCCTAGTCAAAATAAAAATAAGAATTCTTAATCATAAGTATATGTGCAGGGATTTTTTTTGTTCATATACTGAATCAAAGCCAGGTTTAAATTGCTGCAAGTGTCTGATTATTTTTGTAAATCTATTCAAGTTGATACCATGGAAGAGGCTGACCACTAATTTCCATCTGCAATTAGCAGAATAAAAAAGGAAATGAAGCATAAATGGCCCCAGTAATTTGTACTTAAGAATAAACTTCCTTCTGCTAAGGGTTTATTAGACACTAAACTCAAAGGAAGTTTAAACACTTCCTTCAACAGAACAGACAGTTATTTTTCAGAGACAATTTAGGTGTAACCTTAACAGGAACCTCAGGACTAAACTGATTCTATTATTTGCATTTAATAAGGGCAGGGATTTTGGAAGTGATCAGAGAGTTTGAAAAATAGAATTTTTTTTAAAGAAAAAGAAGTCACAGAAGAAACAAACTCCTTCCAATAAATCTTTTCATTTGAAGGAGTTGGAAAAAATCAAGATGGCACATTGACAAGTGTCCCCATGCAGTTTACTGGCACAGCTGAAGAAGCCTCAGGATCATCGCACAATAGGAAGAAAAGAGGACTGAAAATGGAAAGGCCCTTGAAGAAAGGAAACTGTCGTTCTCGGGGATCAATGTCACCATGGTGACCACTGGTAAAGCACCAAGAATGAGAGGCATGTCATGCTAAGAACTCAGGGTCATCAGTCAGAAGATTATTAGCTGATTCCACTTCTTATTAGTTGTGAGACCTTGGGCACATTACCTAGCCTTAGTTTCTCATCTGTACAACAAATTAATAGGAGTGCCAATATAACATGATTGACCAGATGAAGGAACATAAGGTATTTGGCACCATTCTGGTTCATGTCATGACAGCTAACAACCTTAAACATACACAAAATAGAAAAAGGAATTAAATAGAAGACTGTAAGGTATGTCAAACTTGGGATACTACATAGCAATAAAAATGAAAGGCTCATTATTGCTATTGACAACATGGTTGAATCTCATGGTCATGTTGATTGAAAACACCAAGTACAAAACAGTGTATTTTCTACACATCCATTGACATGAAGTTTAAGAGCAAACACACTTGCTGGCTCACAGCAACTGAAGTACAGCAACTGTTCCTTTGGTGGATTGGTACTGACTGGAAAGAACACAAAGGAAATTCTGGGGTGGTGAAAATATCCTGAATCTTGACGTGGAAGGTAGATAGTTGTATGGATATGTATAATATACAATCACTCATCAAGCTGTACACAAAATATTAGTATACTTTATTCTGTTTCCCAGAATCTCTTACGGTTTGAATTTGGGAGCCAGATAGCAGAATTGACTTAACAGGCATGGAACCTATTATAATTGGCCAAACAAACCCCTATTTGTTCTTTCCCTTGGGTAAACATGTTAATGTAGGCATTTATATGGAGACTAGGTGCATCCAGAGAAATCCCAGTTGGCAGAAATTGGACCGGGCACAGAGTTGTGGGGCAGCACTTTTCAGCATGATACTAGCCAACTGTAAGATGTTTATTGGTGCAGGCAGCTCTCACCACTCAGCTCATTAGAAGTGTTCCAGAAAACCCTGCAGTAATCACCTGCAAGGACCRTGGTAGAGTGGCCCTAGTAGTGTGACCTTGCCCCAGCAGCAGCAGCACCACCTGGAAGCTGCCTAGAAGTGCCAGTTCTTGGACCCACCCTAGAAACTTCAAGTCTGAAGCTGGGAATGGGACTCAGCAATGTGTGTTTTTAACAAGCCCTCCAAATGATTCCAGTTTCTGCTTAGAAAATAGACATGTTCCTTACACTCAGTTGATGYGCCTTACATATAAAAAAATTGCCGATAAAATTTGTTGTATGTAATTAGGCAATGCTTAGATTATCTCTAAGATTCTGCAATAATTAGATTTGATTCTTCTTTATGCTGCCAGCATGTATCTACTTTGTCTTGCTTCAGATCTCTCTCATGAAAATGCTTCTTACAAGTACCCTGAATTAATACATTCATGGTCGAATGAAAGTACTGTGGATTAAAAAGTATAATTTCTCTCTTCATAATTCATTTGACTAGGCTCTTTGATATGGACCATGAGAAAGGATAGTGTATTATTATTTTCGTTTCCTATTGACCTTGGTGTTTGTTCATTCATGATGAAAATTCATGAGCTTCATCTAAATGGGCTTATTTTACATGACGAGTGGAGTGATTCTCGATCTGATTATGCACCAAGAAGCTGAGCTCCTGATGCATTTGCCCATTAAGCACCAGTCAGTAAAAGTGATCAAATGAATTTTCCATTACCTATTTWWWAAAAAAAAAAATCTACAGAGAACAATTCCGGAGTCACATCTCTAGAAAGTAAAATCCCCTTTTGGGGGGGGGGGAGGAAGATCTGCTAATTATGTTATATAGGTTCTTCTTAGAGCTACTGACCAAAACCCCAAAGCACAATAATGCTGCTTCGCCTTCTTTAGTGGGAACGGGGTTCACACTGCGGACAGCCACATGGCGTTTCCTGGGCACAATGGGCTGTATTAGCAGTGCACTTGGCATTCTGGGACATGTTCCACAGACAATGAGGAGCGCTGGGGAAGAGTGTGCAAGGCGAACAGAGGAGGGGAGCATCTGACCTACTTTTCTAATGAGTGTCCTGTCTTTTTCCTCCTCTTTGTTTCCTTTCCTTCTTGCCCACTTGCTTAGAGGAAGGAGCCAACTTTGGTGGCTGCTCCAATGGGGGAGGCTGAGTCTCATACCATCTTCCTGTTTTAATTTAGACGTTGGTGGTCTCTTGCAAGATAAACCCCGGGGCCCATGACTGCCTGCAGCAGGCCCTGATTTCTCCACCACTGGCTCCTCTCAGCCTCTCAGGCCACCAGTGTCCTGAGAGGCTCCCTTCCTATTGACAGCCTAGTCTTCCAGAAAGAAGCGAGGTGTC